ATAACATATCCAATCATAGATCTTTATATAAAAGTCATATAAAGAAATTTACAAGTCCAAAACCATGAAACAAATGACTGACAACAATGGACAGAAACAAATTGACAAATACATTACACTACATATCGGTAGTCAAATCAGTAAAAGAAAAATTATATAGACTCCATGGTATACATGAAGTGATGTCAGATGTTTCGAAAAGAGTGAGCACATCCTACTCCACATTCTGAGTCATAATAAAGTAGTGCACATCAAACAAGTGACATTGTTTATCTGCCAAAAAACAATGAATATTAGGGCCAATTCTTGACTGCATTCTGCTGATTACTAACACAGATGTGTGTTTTTAAGAAACTAATATAATAATTGTTTTGCAGAATGAAACTCGACAACACACGTCACTGACAATGATATTGTCCCTATACATGTATAATGACATACTCCTTATACAATGTATGTATTCGGTTATTTTGAATCAAATGACAAAATAAAACAATTTGCGAGTGAGAAATGGTTGAGGACACATTAATACTTTTTTCAGTTCAATCCAAAAAAAATAATTGCATATGTCTCCTATATTGTACCAACATTGAACAAAATCAGACAAACCAGGAAATAAATACAGAAGTATAGACTGACAGAACCCCTAAAAATCGTAAGTCCCTGTTTACAGAATTAGTCAAAATGGGAACAATAAATGACACTCATAAATCAACATATAAATATTTTTGTATATTTTATTTAATATTTCATACATTGTGACAAATAAGAAAAAATAATCACTACTTACTTTGTCTGATGCTGTAGCAAGCCTGGTTCCTTGAAGATTGAGTGCAATACAACTAAGTGCTGATTCATGTGCTGCTATATCTACTGGCGGTTTTTCTGTGTTTGCTAAGTCTATTATTTGTACATGTCCCGTCCTCCTGCCTGGGAAGGCTAATAATGAATTGTTGCTGTTCGGACACAGTTGGCATAAACCTGACAGTATGAAAATAAATTGACTAAAAAAGTGGCAAAGCAAGTATGGAATAGACGGCCTTTTATTTCATTTTGAACATAAGGTTCATTTTTACCACATACTGTCTAAGAAGAAAACAGAATAATTTTAACTACCCTGCATTTTTGATAACTTAAAGCTAATTTAGCTAGGGCACCTGTCATGTTTTTTGTATTCTGAAGTTGAAATTCTTGGTGGAATAAGACTTCAGGTGCAAAACAAAGTTATGCACAGGCAAAATTAAAACAAATTTATAAAGTGAGTGTTGAAGATTATCGTCATCAAATGTGTATTCAGTATGTGGAGAAAACAAACTATGCCACGATTGCCTTATTATACACCTAGCTTTGGTTTGTGGATATTACTAGTTACAACTATTAGTTATTTAAACTATATAGTAACTAATCAGGCAGACCACAAGACATTAGATAATAATCCTGATAAAACATATTATAGTGATTACCTTAGTACAGTGAATGAACTACAACTTACCTTTTGGGTTGTGGCAAGTCTCAAACACATGAAGTTGTTGTGGATTCTGTGTAAATGTATAAACCTTGATTATGAGTCCAGGACAACTACAATCCTAGCAATGCAAAGGTAACATATATAATGGAATTACTCTTTGTTACCAGCAAGATTGTAGCTTGAGCTCAATAAAATTAAAGTGAATACTATATCACAAGGTTAACCATAAAAGGTACATGTTGTTCAAAAAAGAATTTCCAAGGAACATGATAGAATTTTACTGGAATTTGATATTGACTCACATTAAAGGTCTGAAACCTGAACAATTATGTTGGCTACATTTACTATTTTTTGGCTATGATTTGTAAAACATTTTATGCATTTTGGTTACGATTAAAATCACCAAGACAGAGATTACACTAGACAAATAAAAAATACTAACCTGTCTCTACGAAGCCTCACTGCTTTCACTTCACTGGCAAATTCAAGTTCAATAACATGCTTTTTTTTAAGATCATCCCAAACCATGACTAAGGAAACATAAATACATTGTCAGTGATAAGGTTAGCCAAACTATAATTTTGTATGTGACTGAAATTACAACAAGCAGCCTGTCGGCTGAGATAGCTCCACTGTTAGCAATGCACATTACAACAACCAGCCTGTCGGCTGAGATAGCTCCGCTGTTAGCAATGCACATTACAACAAGCAGCCTGTCGGCTGAGATAGCTCCGCTGTTAGCAATGCACATTACAACAACTAGCCTGTCGGCTGAGATAGCTCCACTGTTAGCAATGCACTTCAGCCTGTCGGCTGAGATAGCTCCACTGTTAGCAATGCACATTACAACAAGCAGCCTGTCAGCTGAGATAGCTAAGCTGTTAGCAATGCACATTACAACAAGCAGCCTGTCGGCTGAGATAGCTCCACTGTTAGCAATGCACATTACAACAACCAGCCTGTCGGCTGAGATAGCTCCGCTGTTAGCAATGCACATTTAAATTAAAGAACTGAAGATATCATTAGAAAATGAACATTATGTATAGTATCAGCAATCAGACTTGCTGTTTCCAACAAGAATTCAAAAATATAACTAAATTATACCGGTATATACATTAAATATATATCAAAATTAGATAATTGAAGATATCATCACAAAATGAACAAATCTGAGAGAGGTCTACCTGTAGTACCTACCGGTATATATATACATGTAATATCAAAGCAATCAGACTTGCAGTTTTCAACAAGAAGTCTAAAATATCACTTTTTACCAAAAATGACAAAAATATTCATCAAAATTAGATAATTAAAGATATCATCATGAAATGAGCAAATCTAAGAGAGGTCTACCTAAGTGCATATACACCAAGTAGCAAATTAGGCTTATAGTTTTCAAAAAAAGTCGAAAAAGTAAAAAGTTGACACGAACGACGACTACTGACAATCGCACATGATCAAAATATGAAGGAAAATGCTTTCTAACCAAACGCAACTTACCTTTATTGTTAGGATATTTAGGACTCTTTCCTCCCCCAACTAATGCTAAGTAATTACAGCGGAACAACATCTCAATGTGTCCAACACCACCTTCAGTAAAGTCTACAAAATATCATGAATTTCATTAGTGAAAACACAGATGGTCAAAATGAATGAATTAATCAGAATTTGACGCTAAATACATAAATTTCTACTGTTTTTTTTTTTGCAAGACAATTGACCATTGTTGACCAGCATCCTTCTCAAGATATTTGGCACATTAGTTTTACAACCCATCAACTGTATTGAGCAGCATTTGAATCACATTGCTATGAAAACCCAGTTTTGAATCATCTCCAGGACTTGAACTATGTAGTTGAGAGGGCTCCCATTTTCGGCATCATAGGAATAGCAGAAAAAATCAAAGGGCACCAAAACAAACTCATCTGGCATCAAGACCAGACAATTGCCTTTGATGCCTCTGTGATCTCTATGGCTTTTCAAAATATAAATTTTGCTGAAAAGCATGTTCAAATGTTTATTTATGTTTCGAAACATACATTGAGAGGAACCACATGAGTTCCAGGGTGAGTTTACCATGTTGATAACATGCCGCCATTTTAATTTCTAGCACATGAAAGTAGCTGTGTCACTGAATGCTTTCAGATACTGTGCATTCTGGGTAATGATTACATCAGCAAATGAAGATATATCCTTATAATTATGACAACAAAATACAGCAAAATCAATAGTACCAGAGATCTCACTTTAGGTTTCTGTAACTAAAAAGAGCCAGAACTACAAGGTAACACGTAGAAGCCATTGGCAGACAAGATGTTACACAACTTACGACATTTCTCTCAGAATTATTATTATTCGTTAAGACACAATCTCTTGTACTATAACAGATTGTATGGTGATGTGAGAAGAGATTTTGATGATGAGATTTCTCAAACACTGTTAGAGTATGATCTTATTATCACACAAGATTTGATGTTATAGTATCCTCTTGAAGGAAATTTTATTTTTGCATTAAAGAGTGAAGTTCTCTAATCCAGTGCCTCCAACACTCATTTGGGGATTTATTTTAAATGCAGAAGTGTGTAAAATCTCATCTCAGGCACTTTGGAATAGGCCACATTATTGTTCTTAAACTTTGAAAGTATTTTAAAAATTGTTTCTTACCCTGTCTTTCCTTTTCTTTCAATGGATCACAATTATAAACACGGAAGCCACTTTCCATGCCACATGCAAAACAACCTTAAAAAGGATTATAAAAAAAACAATTGAAATATAATAAAATTTAAAGTATATGTACACAGGGATAAAAGTATAACTCCACGATGAAACATATTACGTTATTTTTACATTCACAGTCTCGCATACATGTATGATTGGGACCTACATGTATGGTATTGTCTTTTCTAAATAATACATACTAGTATTCGTAGTCCGGTTACCCTGGTGACTGTGCACCGCACTCAAAATGGTACACGATAAACGTGAAGCTGACCTTAACACGCTTGTTTCGTACAATTAATAAATTCGGTGACACAGTAGTAAGGGCAAAACTAAAATCATGCTTGAACATTTCAACGATCGCAGATTATGAGGGAGTGTTACTCGTACCTTGGTCCTGGTTGAATCCGGCATATAGCAGACCATTGCCGTGCGAATTCTGTGTTCCCAGATTCATATTGTCCACGACGGAAATGAGAAATAAAAACTTAGCTTAGTGTTTGCAGTCGTAAAAATTACGACAACGGGATGAAAGTTCGACGATTCAGAACAAATTCCACCATGTTGGATTTGTTGTTTATCTCCCTAACTCAGTTAAAATATTTCTACACCCTTGCGAACTATGTAAACGTTGAATGAAACATAGTGAGATAAACAAAAATGTGAGTAAATTATTGACTTTAATTATATATAAGTTGTAGTATTAACGACTATATAGAATTTATGATTCAGAATATCTCACTCAGAAATAAAAAAATGACTGCGAAGGAAACACCAGTAACCTAAAGGTTCTAATCTGGCGAGACTTGCCGTCGCGAGATTTACACGTGAGTTTGTCAACATGGCTGCTCTGCGAAACTTGGCTGCTTCATTTTGCAAACCCACATCTTTACTTTCACGTACTGCAAGTGTACTCTCAGTCTCTGCACGCTATAATATAGTACGGTGCATGTCAACGGGTACGTTTAGTTTACTTTCATCGGTATCTGGTAAATGTTTGCCACGCGTCCATGGTCCTGTCTCACTCATCCATGATTGATAATTTCGATGACCTTTCACCCCAAAGAATATTTTAATTTAATAATTTATGCCAAAGTACCCTGGTCTTGTTTGTATAGATTGTCTATCACATTTTGGTTTCATTCATTTATGCATAATAGTTAGCATGCCTAGTTGAATGGACAAATCAAGTTATACAATGTAGTAAATTTATAGTTTATATATTAGTTTGTTCACAGTTTAAATTGTTTATTTATTATCGTTATGCATAATTTTATTATTTACTTAGAATTCATTTATTTATTTTAATATTAAGTATTAATTATTGGTTTATTCTTTTTATATTTTATTAGATTCACTTTATATTTGTTATTTTATTATTATTAATTGATTTTTTTATTTTCATATTATTTATTTCATTTATGTATTCATCTATTTATTAATAATGTATATGTAGTAGTTTACTTTGAATTATTTTTTTAATTACTCATGTTTCCTATTTATTATTTTACTTATTAACATGTATTAGTTTGTTTGTCATTTCATTGTTTTATTATATTTATTTATATTTCATCATATTGTTTTAATTGTGGGTTTGTTTACTTATTTGTTATTCACTTGTATTCATTACGTATCATTTATTTATTTGACCAGATAGTAACAGCACTCTCACCAGTTCAATGTTTTCTTTCAAAATGGCTGATCGTGTTTAGGTTCATTTTTTGGCTCATGTCTTGCTCAGTGTGGAATATAAAATGCTGAAATGCACTGTATGGTTTTCTACACAAGATTCCAGTTAATTTATTGGCATATGCAGAGATGACATTGTATTCTTCTCCACCTTTAAAAAGGACATGCTGCAATCTATTGGTATTGCTTGCAGTGGAATTTATCATTAAATTCAGATAAAATATAAATTATTGTTTTTAGCAAACAATCAAATATTAATTGTGATATTTGTTACAGAAAATATAAAAACAGTAGACCACTACAAATCTGGTTGTATTACCAATTTAAGGAAAACTCTAAAAAGCTTATTTTAACATGAAAAATTAAATTATTTTTAATATTGATAATGATGCTGAGTGCTTTGCTTTTTATTCAATGGAATGATTGAACCAATTTTGCATTCAAGTTTGGGTCTCTTTTCAAGGTGGACATAATCATATTATAAATAATATTAAGAATGACTACATTTAATGTTTCGTAAACAGTCCCAGTTCATAAAAAGTCGTCCAGTATTGCTTCAAGGAATGAACTTGGTTGTTTTCCACTACATTTAAATGCTACAGGTATACGGAATATTTTTCATTTTTGGGCACACAAACTTGGAGAAGGAAGTTTAAATTATGTAGCTCTTAACAGTGAAATACATCTTGATGAACAAGGTGTTGCATCCTCAATGACAATGGCCAGGGAAATGTTAAAGGAACTTGAAAAATAAATATTTGTACAAATGACCATGTGCAAAATTAAATTTAAATTAAAACAAAAGTGAGAGCTTTATATGATAACTACTGGCAGAATTAAAATAAATAAAGATAAAATGGGAGGAAAAACCAAGAGTTATTATTCAAAACATTTGCTAAAAATTATTACTTTTAAAAATATCTCAATGTAAAAATAATAAATTAAGAAATGCTTCAACAAATATGAGAATTGTTTTTCACATTTGTGAAAAGTGGGTATGAGAGCATGCTTCTCTCCAGAGAATGTGTACAAAATTCCAATAATTCAGTTGTGGATAACTACATACTATTATGTATAGCTCATATTTCCAAAATATATGTACAAGAATAAAATTAATGAAATTATAGGATGAGACTTTACAATTACTCATCTTTTGAGCTGTTTTATTTTTAAAAAATGTGTTCTTACATGTAGTTTGTTTTTAAAATTTTTGAAAGATTAATCTATCTGCCAACATAATTACCTTTTGTAATTCCCTGAGTACCGGTATATCTCACAAATTTGCTACACAAGAGTGTTCAGACTTTTGCTGGTGTACTGCAACATTTAATTGTATTGAATTTTAATAGAATTTGGTACACCTGCTGACAACACTTTTCTTCATTCAGTTTGGCTGTCCATGGAGTCTTTCTGCGTTAAAATGCGGCATATGCTCTAACTCCTGTCCCAATGCACAGTGGTGAATTTGCATATTAAATTAAAATTTTTTTAAATTCAATTTTTTTCAAACAGGTAAATATGAGTACCTTCTTGTTGAGAAAAAAGGAGCTAAAGAGAATGTTGGCTTGATCACACTGAATCGACCGAAAGCCTTGAATGCATTATGCGATGGTTTGATGGTTGAACTTGCTGATGTACTGGATGATTTTGATAAGGATGAAGGTATTGGATGCCTTGTGTTAACTGGTAGTACACGGGCATTTGCTGGTAAGAATTGTATCCTACCTATCAACATATTTGTTTTATATCATCATTCCCCTTTTTTCTCTATTAGAAGTACGTATATGTACAACCATATATCATTAAAATATTACTACATGGTGCAGTAGTAGATTTAGCTATTTATTCATGTGATATGTTAATTATTTTAAATTTAATGACTAACATTAGCTCAACCTTGTTTATTGTTTTAATAGCTGGAGCTGACATAAAAGAAATGCAAGACAGAACATTTCAAGATGTTGCTGGTAAGAATTTTTTGAGTGCTTGGTCCAGATTAGCTGCCAACAAGAAGCCAGTGATTGCAGCTGTTAATGGTCATGCAGTAAGTAATGTTTTTTAAGTTTTGTCTGGGCTATAGTTATTTGTATTCTTAGAAGTGTCAGGTAAATGAGCTCAGCAATGCATGGATGGTTACTTGAAGACACTGTTAAAGCCACTGTCGTATAGCATCATCAACCTATGCTATGTTTATATGGGATTAAAAACTTAATTCGCAATTATAAAAATAATTATTTTGTTTCTAAATTAATAGAATTCCATATTTGTCCAATAACACTGCCCATCGAAAACTTCTTGTTTCAGCAAATAGACAATCTTTTGGTTTGGTTTGATTTGATTTGATTGATTTATTTCACCAGAAATAAAGAAACTGTACATTTATTTAAGAGTCACAGAAAATGTATAATGCGGGTCCAAGTTTCAGAAATAATTTCTTGCACTTAAATTAGAGTCCAATTTATGTTTTCCATAGTAACTGACGCCAATGTAAAAATGTGATTCGAGTGAAAGTTGTAGATACTTCAATGATCAGTACATCTTTCTAAAAGTCCAATTTTTTTTTAAATCCTGCTGTTTTTCACCAAATTTAATGCAAAAAGATATTACTGCAACACTTATAAATCACGTCTGTGTTGTGTTTGTCATGTGTCACAATTCAGAAATTCAGGAATATGCTTAGCTAACACCACCCAACAATCAGTTTGAAAAACTGGCTTGACTTATAAGGTCAAATGACACAGTTTCAAGTCAAATTGTGGATAAAACAAACATGGTAGATATATTTTCACTTTGAGTTTGTGTGTGAGCATAAATAGTTGGTTGTGCTGAAAATAATTTTACTTGCATTTCATACATCACGTATGACCCATCCTCCAAAACATCACCCAGGATAGTCGTATCAGACAAATACTGATATAACATTGTGAGTAAAAAATGACTATAGTTGATATTTTGTTGAAATTGTCACTAGTACAATGTGTTGCAATATAACATGATGTGAACATAAATGGATGCAATGTTTTTTTTTTGTTTTTTTTTTAATGATAATGATTTTTAGTCCTTGTTCAGACGCAAGCCGAAAACGGGGACTTATGTTTTGACCCTTATGCGTTCGTGCGTTCGTGCGTCCGTGCTTCCGTGTGTGCGTCTGGACCTGTATCTTAGAAATGCCTGGACGAATCATGATCAAACTTCACACATACATCATACATGGTATTATACATATGCACATCAATTTGTTTCATGATCTGATTCAAGATGGCCAAATGGCTAAAAATCATCAAAATCAAGCACTTTTCGGCTGTTTCCTTATGGATTTTGTTCAAACCTAGTATATACATTAGACATTATGGGACTTTGATGCAAACAATTTTATTTTTCAGATCCGATTCAAAATGGCTGACTGGCGACCATTTTGTTTTAATGAATGGGCTTCTAGAGCCATATCTCTGACATGCTTTGACTGATTATGTTCAAATTTTTAATAATATTCATTATACATCATGTCATAGATATACAAATATATTGGTTTGACGATCCTATTCAAAATGGCCGAATGGTGGCCATTTTTGTGCTAAAAAAATCATCAAATATCAAGCATTTCTGGCATTTCTAGATGGATTTTGTTCAAACTTGGTACATACATTAGACATTACGGGTTCCTGATGCACATCATTTTATTTTTCAGATCGGATTCAAAATGGCTGTCTGGCAGCCATTTTGTTTTAATGATTGGGCTTCTAGAGCCATATCTCTGACATGCTTTGACTGATTATGTTCAAATTTTATATATTCGTTGTACATCATGTTATAGATATACATGTATTCAAAATGGCTGATTTTGAATGCTGTTGCAGAGCAATATCACTCAATATGGACAAGTACTTGTTTGACAATCAGATACAAATGTCAATCATTTTAATGTTAAAAAATCATATTCCTGACATGGTTATATTCCAGCTATATTACTATAAACAAAACTATATATCTTATATTTGATAACGGGGACTGTGCCTTGCATGGCTTGTTTAATCAATTTTTACTCTGAAATTTTGATTAGTAGAAAATGTCAACATGATTTTGTATTCTAAAAGCTTGACTGTTCTAAATAAAAGCGCTCTAAATAAGAATTTTTATGGTACATTTTGTCTTCTATAATTATTAGGACATACCATCACATAATCCTATAAATAGTATTTACATGGTTAGTACATGTATGTCCAATCTGTGTGACCAGTCCATTAATAAAACAAAACAATTGTGATATATTTGTAGCTTGGTGGTGGATGTGAAATTGCAATGATGTGTGATATAATATATGCTGGGGAAAAAGCCAAGTTTGGTCAGCCGGAGATTTTGTTGGGAACTATTCCTGGTGCAGGAGGTACTCAGAGACTACCCCGTGTTGTTGGCAAGTCATTAGCAATGGAATTAGTATTGACTGGTACAAGTATCAGTGCAGCGGATGCCCTCAATGCAGGTATTGCTGTGGTGTGAAATTTATGAATAAAGGTGGACACACAGAGGGTCTCTAATGAGTGTGTGTTATTGAGTTTGCAATTAGCTACCATGTACAGATTTGTATTACATTGTATAGATAATTATTACACTGTGTTATTACACTAAACTACAATGATATATCGGATAAATTCTTTAAATGTGATGCAGTTAGTATTGGTACTCTTTCTAAAGATGTGAAACTTATTCCAATACAACAATTACTAAACGTAGCAATTTTCATATTGTGCATTTTATTAAGTAGAACATGTTTTTCTGTTCTTCAATCTGCCCTAGGTCTTGTGAGTAAAGTTTACCCTGTTGACACAGTTGTTGATGAGGCCATCAAGACAGCTGAAAAGATTTCCAGTAATTCCAAAATGATTGTAGCTATGTGTAAAGAAGCTGTCAACAGATCTTATGAAAATACTCTCCAAGAAGGTTTACTCTTTGAAAAGAAAATTTTCTATGGAACATTTGCCACGGTTCGTTATTTCAAAACATTTTTTAAGTCACTTGTGCTTTTGTTGTAGATTTGATGCTGCGTATAACTATATGATGTTTGTCTTGTGAAATTATTGACCATTCTTCTCTTAGAATTTGAAGATGTTAGCATTCACTCTCCCGCTAGATGCCTGCAAAGAAATATTTCATTAAGTGTCATAATTGCTGTAGTTTACGATGAGTGATGCTGTGATTTTAAAGCGTGGTGGTCGCCACGCAGCGAGTGTTCGAATTTCATGTAAATAAACAATGTATTTTACCTGCGTTGTATACGTCGCTACGAGTCTCATATCGAACAGGACACGACATGACGACTGCCGCCCTTTAACAATATATGCAAATTTAGGTAGCAACTTGTAAACCAATGGGTGTTATCCAACCTCAAATGTATGATACTGACCAATATGCACTTCTCATTTTTGTTAACTGCGTACAATAAATACAGAAGTATAAATTTTTTTTTGTCTTTACTGCAGAATGACAGAAAAGAAGGCATGACAGCATTCACTGAAAAAAGGAAAGCAAATTTCACAGATAGTTGAGCATCTGAAGTTCTGTGAATGTTTTCTTGGATAAATTCATCAAATTAAGAGTATCAGCTTTGCAGCTTATGTGGGTAGCTTACAATAGCGTGAATGCAGATTGGGGATCACACTTATAAACTCGTCTTGTTCTTGCAGTGTGTTTTTTGTTCATTACAGAACATCTATAAAAACATAATGACTCAAAACTAATCATGTTTTATTATAAATAAAATGTATAATTCTTAGAACGATTTATGTTGATGAATTATTGTGTGATTATGCATCTGTTTAAATTACTACTCTGACTACACACTAAATCGATATCGTTGTATAACTCTCATGATAATTTGCAGATTATCTGTTATTACATGCTAGTACTGTAAAATACTTTATTTTCGCTTGGAATTTATTTTCACTTTTTTCACTGAAGGGATGATTCAGTGAAAATAAAATCCAGCGAATATACATATTACATTTAATTCTCCAAGAATCAGTAAAAATAAACTTCATACCAATCATTCAAAAAGTCTTCAGCGAAAATTAATTCCAGCTAAAATAAAGTATTTTACAGTAATATGTTATAACCAGCTGCAGTGAATGTTGCCCTCGATAGGTGACTTTGAGATAACCATGCCTCAAAAGGCAGTGAGTGAGTGAGTGGGTCGATGGATTTGTGGGTGGTTTATTTGATTGAAAGTGTTGAGAGCATTGATTCCAACATGGGTATGTTCTTAAAGGTCAGTTCAGGTTATTACAAGGATATATCAAAGTATGCACGCAGACAATACAGCTGGTGTACTGTCTGCGTGCATACTTAGAAGTATTCTTGTAATAATCTTATTATTATACATATTTTTCTTCCAAAGATGCACCTTGGGAATGCCGAAATTCAAAATGTTTAGAACACAATCAACTTCTTTGTTTGGAGAGTGGTCAAATCTTGGTGGCAGCCATGTTTGTTTTTATTATTAGAGGACGCTTACATGCGTAATCCATATTTGGAATGCACATTTTCTAATATGAAAATACTCCGTAAAATACCGCAAAATTACAGCATGCTGTAACTTTTGGCATTACGGTGACAGATTTATAATAGTATATAATCTACAAGTCAATCTAGAAATAGATGTGTATGTTTGTTGTAGACTTGGATTGGAGAGATGCATGTATATTTATTCTATTTAATATAGTTTTAGAAGTTTCATGGATGCAGAGACAAACAAAATAACATCTATATGAAGGCATATACACATATAGTCAAGTATTAGAACAATTAATGAAGCTGTAAAATAAATGGCTTCTTTATATCTACTTTTAAAAATGGTTTGTACTTTTCCCACATGTTTGCTTTAATCAGAGGGAATGATAAAAGATATGAAAGGAATCCTGTCATAAGCTTTGCATTCAATATTTTCAGTCCTTTTATGATAACTATGATGTATGTATAATGATGTGAATATAGATGTCCTTTGATTCCAGACAGAGTTGCATACAAAGCTAAGTTTTGTACATGTTACACTAGTGGTCTCTGATATATAATATAAGATAATTTCTTTGTTGTTCGTCATTGACTTTTCATCGTAATATAGGTTTTCATGTCCAGTATTGCTCAGTTCGCTTACATCCCTAAGTTTGGGATCTCTGTTATTCATCTTCACTGGCTGTTCTGTTCATCACCTCTTACCATCTCCAGTCCAGTGATACTTGACATAGTTACAGTGTTGTCAATGTTGTTCTGTTCATAACACTTCTCTGCCTCATCCAATTCTGCCCTAGCTCTCTCTGGGTCCATAACATGTTCCAGATTTCCCATTTTATGACTTCGGAAGAAGGCTCTGGCAAATATCCCAAGGCAGAAAAACTCTATACAATCATAAAATTGTATAAATCTGATGAGTTGAAGATAAAACATATTGATAAGTTGTAGCTTATATCATTCATTAAGTCTGTTATTGTTGAAATTGTCTTGACTATGATTTGAATATTGGGGGGATTTAACATTTATCTACATAGATCAGCATCAATTTCCCCACCCAAGGGACCAATGGAGTGTGATAGTTGGCGATGTCAAATTTTCTGGCATTCAAAATCCCTGATTTGGGGCTAGTTTTGTATTAAAATACCCCCTACAACCTGACAACCTATGCGTTATTACTTGGGAAAATTGAAGGACTGCTTCTGTAGTTGTGAGACTGCTGAGTGTGACAGACTCCCTAAACATACATTGTGGCTATATTGAATATTTTTAAAAAAATCGTGGTAACGTAGAGGCATGTACTTACGTTATGCTGCTCCCAGACTGTTGAACTGCGGAGTACATGGAATAACCCCAGTTGACGACAGCAAACTCAAAATAGAAAGCTGAATAAGGCCAGACTTTTTTATCCCTTGTTTCGCGAACCCGTCGAATGAACAGGAGCCGAAAATGAAATAAAAATAAAATTTTATTTCAGTGTGATTTCTCGTGCCGCCGACTTGTAAGTGCAAACAATCGTTTTTTTTCGCCCGCCGCATAACAAACTCAAGTTGCATTTTCATGATCAAAGTACCGAAGTCTCGCGCAGATGAGAAACCAGGTTATACATGGAATAAAATTTTATTTCATTTCTTCTCTCTGATCAGTGATCTCACTTACAATTCTTTGAGAATCAAACAAATCTAATGAAAAAAAAAAAGAATTAATTTTATTTTTTTTCTGCCCTCCTCAAAAAAATTGCCTTACAAAAACTCGAGAAACAAGGAATAAAAAAAGTCTGGCCTAATGCTAAATATCAAGGAAAGCTGTATTGCCATATATTTATGTGTTATCTTATAGTCCTTGAGTTGTTTCCTGGATGCCTGAAAAGTCATACTTAATGACTGTATGGCAACTAAAGTCGATGCTAAACAAGTGATTGAAAGCCAAAAAATAGGTTCGTTCAGTGTTACCTATTGGGAGAAAAATGTTTGGCTAAAACAAAATCTATCGAGAAATTGACGCTAGAGGGCGTATACGAATAATGCAGACGAACCTTTATTTTTTTTTTTGGTAGTTAATTGCAACGTTTTCTTTCAGTGTTCTCTTAATTACATATGATTTGAATGTGTTGGCGTACCGCACCGGGAACGTATATTCCTCCCATCCAAATGATGACAGAAATGAACAGAACAGTAAGATTGGCCAAAGTAACCTCTAGAACAAGTCATCTCATCCAAGGTTGTGTCTTTCGTAATTACCAAGATATAACGTGAACAATTTATTCGGCAACATTATTAATATCTGCCATTTTCGAATAAAATGAATCTTTCAACAATTTATCTATGGTATATGTAGTTGTTCCATGGAAATGTGCCTTATAGCGGATTTCATGAATACGTGAATTTGTTTTATGACACTTATTTATAAAAAAATTATTCCGAAAGATCCTCACGCTTCCTTCAAATAGAAACCCTTTGGCAACGCCAATTACCCATGGTCCTTAGCGGGATTCTTCAATCAATGGTCGATTTATTGCCACGAAGGCAAACGATAGATTCTATCAAATTTGTAGAAAACACTCAGCAGTACAGTCATTCGTTTGCTGAATAATACCATTATCATTTGGCACGGAATGTCAAAAGAAAGAAGTGTTAACTGACCACAGTGGGGTGTTTTATGGGCGGGATTCATGCGCTATATTTAGGATCAAATTGTTTTTAATCGCCATTTGAAATTTGTAAGCATTTATAAATATTTAATATGAAACGAATCCACGCCTTCATGAAACCTGGTGTAGTGTTCATTGCCAACATTTTAGGAATACCCACATAATATTACTAATATGTTTTGTACATGTCTGATATGTGTAAATAAACTGAATCTATCATATAGATTGTGGAAATGATTGTGTAATTTAATAACCATGAAACAATAGTGCGTAGGAATATTTAGCAAAACAGTGGAAACAATTTGGAATGTGTAATAATATTAAATACTGTGACTCCATGTCTTAGAACCCATGTGAGATGTGGCTCCATGTCTTAGAACCCATGTGAGATGTGACTCCATGTCTTAGAACCCATGTGAGATGTGACTCCATGTCTTAGAACCCATGTGAGATGTGACTCCATGTCTTAGAACCCATGTGAGATGTAACTCCATGTCTTAGAACCCATGTGAGATGTGACTCCATGTCTTAGAACCCATGTGAGATGTGACTCCATGTCTTAGAACCCATGTGAGATGTAACTCCATGTCTTAGAACCCATGTGAGATGTGACTCCATGTCTTAGAACCCATGTGAGATGTGACTCCATGTCTTAGAACCCATGTGAGATGTAACTCCATGTCTTAGAACCCATGTGAGATGTGACTCCATGTCTTAGAACCCATGTGAGATGTGACTCCATGTCTTAGAACCCATGTGAGATGTGACTCCATGTCTTAGAACCCATGTGAGATGTGACTCCATGTCTTAGAACCCATGTGAGATGTGACTCCATGTCTTAGAACCCATGTGAGATGTGACTCCATGTCTTAGAACCCATGTGAGATGTGACTCCATGTCTTAGAACCCATGTGAGATGTGACTCCATGTCTTAGAACCCATGTGAGATGTGACTCCATGTCTTAGAACCCATGTGAGATGTGACTCCATGTCTTAGAACCCATGTGAGATGTGCACTCATGACTATTTTACCTGACATACTAAAACCATTTGCCTAGCACAACATACAGTAGATTACAGCAAAATCAAGCATCCGTTATTAGCACTCCGGCATTCACAAAATATGATGAAAAATGCGTTCTTAACAAAACGCAACTTACCTTTATTGTTAGGATGTTTAGGAATCTTTCCTTCCCCAAATAATGCTAATTATTACATATGTACTGCAGTTTATTTTGATTCGTCCCTGAAATCAAAATCGGTATTTCCACACCCCATATGCAAATGAGGTCTGCGAGCAAACAAAGTATATATGCAAATTTAGGTAGCAACTTGAACCTGTAAAGTAACGGGGATAGGTAAATGGTGACTCACCAATTTTTTCTCATCATTTATCCAACCTCAAATACTGTGATGCAATAAACACAGGAGTACTGATAATGAAGTTTTGTCTTTATTGTAGAATGACAGAAAGGAAGGCATGACATCATTCAATGATAGTTAAGCATTATTATATGTAATGCTGTGAATGTATTTCGTTTTGCAGCTTATGTGGGAAGCTTACATGGCATCAATACAAATTGGGGATCACACTTATAAACTCACATTAAAAAATGTATAATTCTTAAAAAAACTATTTTTGTGATGTTGATGCATTATTGTCAATCTGATTAAAATCTGATGTAGTGTACGGGCTTTAATTATTTTGGCTATAAACTTATTTTAATTTTATTTTTTATTACTTTTGTTATTAATGCCTTTTTATTTTATTATTTTACTTTGATTTTGATTTTTTTTAATTCCGCCCTACATACATCTGATCCGACGCCTACGTAAGTCCCGTTCAAATCTCGCGTAAGTAACA